CATATCTCTAATGGACCAGCCTTGAGTGTACTCAACAAGTTGAGACGATTTGAGACTCTGATTTTTCACTATAATGATGGAAGACGATTACAAATGTGACTTAATATTTTATGGAGGGATTTTGCATTCAAAAGTCTCATCAACAATGATACAATCATATATATATTATTATACATCTATCATGCAAATAAACATATATAACATATAATATAATAGCGTGGACAATTATGGACTTTACTATCTAGTCTTCCCGAGCCATAAGGAAGACTAGTTAGTCAATTCCTAGGGGGTATTACACTGATCAGTATCAATGCGCTATTTCCATGGTCTCCTCCTCTTCTTATTTCTTCAATTAGCCCAGTTGCAACATGTATCCTATACTAGTTGACACTCAGGTCTCAAAGAAATTGAACTCGCAGGCCCATAGCAACAATAATAATAACGGACTCGCAGGTCCAAAATGATCAAGAGCTCGCAGGACCAAAATAGTAACAATAATAACGAGCTCGCAGGCCCACAAAACAACAAGAATAAAATTCAACCATTCAACACATCGATATGATCGAGTCCATAATCATCCACTAATAATACATTCATCACATAAATGTATGTATATATAATATCTAATATTATATCCTAACATGTTTCAAGTTTCTAACAATTAAGATCGTCTAAACCCTTTTAGACTTATGGATAGGAATAATTAAATAATTAATTAATCATATTAAATAATTATTTAATTAGCGGACATATTTAATTAAAATCAAATTTTAATTAAATACCGAATTAGAGTCAAACTCTAATTTCAAAATTTAAGGCGGTGGAATTTAATTAAAATCATATTTTAATTAAATAACAAAACTAGAGTATAACTCTAATTCCAATATTTAAGGGCAAATGAATTTAATCAAAATCAAATTTTAATTAAATGGCAAAATTAGAGTCCAACTCTAAATCTAAGATTTTAGGGCGAGCCTGTTTAATCAAAATTAAATTTTAATTAAACATCAAATTAGAGACTAACTCCAATTTAAAGAAAAATTTAGGGCGAAACAATTTAATTAAAATCAAAATTTAATTAAATGTCAAATTAAAATCCAATTTTAATTTCTAAAATATCTTCGGGTGAAAAATTAATTAAAATCGAATTTTAATTAAGTCCTAAATTAGAGTCAAACTCTAATTTAAATTGAATTATATTTTAAATTAGGATAACACTCCTAAATAAAATAAAATTCAATTGGGATTAAAGTTTAATATTTAAGTCAAAATTCAATTTTAACGAAAATATAAAATGTCGTTAATTTTAAATAAAATTTTAATTTGGGTCAAAATAAAAACATGGGTCAAACCCAATTAAAAACATAATTTTAAAATCCATTTAAAATTTAAATTCAGAACTCATTTTGAAATTTGCAAATTGACCCAAGTTTAAAATTAAAAGGTGGTCCTTCAATTAACTTAATTGCGTGACAAGTCCTCCAATTAAAAATTGCAAAGTCACCCTTCTCATTTAATTGCAAGCAGGGGTCCTTAATATGAAGTATTGCCAAAAATGACCCTCAATTAAAAAATTAACAATTTGACCCCTAATATCATATTTGTAGGCGGGGGCCTGAAATTTCAGAAATTGCAAACGAGGCGCCGCTGCAGTGCTGCTGCTGCCTGTCGGCGGTGGCGAGCTACAGCCCGATCCCCAAAATTTTTTTTTTCGAATTAGATTTCAAAATTATAAAATTAAATTTCAACTAAATTGCTAGAAACAAGAAAATTAATAACAATCAACGTTTGACTGATCAATCACAAAAATCAATTTCTAACAAATATAAAGGAGACTCTGATACCACTGTTGGGAATTTACTTATACATGCAAAAAGGAAAATTAAAATTATTTCGATTCTCACCGAGAATTCCTTTGTGTTTAGATAGAAATCGTGATAAAGATTGTACCTTTGAAGAATCCTGCAAACCTTTTATTTTTCTTTTCGTTCCAGCAATCTTGATTTGCCACCCACAGTTGTCCAATTGTCCAGCCTCCAACGGTGATCCACACAGAGAACAAGATCGCAGCTACCAAGGTTTTCCTCTTGTGCCAGCAAGAATAATGAAAACCATATAGATCTCAAACCCTAGCCATGTATTTATATATAAACCCAAACGGGCTCGGCCCAATCCGGTCCAATATTTAATTAATCCATTTAATTAAACCCGGTCCGTGAATTAATTAATCCAATTAATTAATTCAGGAATATAAATAACAAATCCAATTAATTAATTTGTCCAACGATTGTTAAATTAACCAATTGGCAATTTGTAATCTTCCAATTCTCTTTTGTGTGTAACCCATTAGGTTTCCGACCACAATGCCTAACGACGTGAAATATTATTTTGATTTAATCAAAATTGATAAATTAAAACACCCTTTTGATTTATTGTCAATTCACACTCACCATCCTTGATTGACATCTTGCAATGTGTCAGGGCAATACATGTGACGGAA